GCAAATTGAACAATATTAGTCTTGCAATGGAAGGTGATGAACTTCACTGTGATCAAGGTCACAGCAGCTACTGAGCACCTCATTCAGAACATGGCACCTGTGAAAGTGCCCATCACCACTCTGGCACATGTAATTCAGCTCTGAGAAAGACTACAGCTTCAGCACGCAGAGCATAACATTGTTTTCCTGCTGCAGCATAGCCAAGCCAAAGAGAAAATCTGTGTCCACTTTCAGATGCCAAATTGTTTGTTCTCCTTCTCCATGAAACTGGAGAGATAATTGTGCTCCAGAGTCCCGAGGCTGCCGCAAGGCTCCCTTTGTTCGTGTGCTTTTTTGGGGTGGAAAATAGAGAACAGCAAAGCCAGCTGCCTCTGCAGGAACCATGCAACAGCATTGCTAGCCTCCAGCCCCTTGGCTGAGGTTTTCCTTGAAATAGCCCAGAAAATGTGCTCATTACCCAATAAGAGCACCATCTCCTGCTGTCTAGGATCAACCTGCAACTAGCTGGGCATTATTGTCTCTAGTACTTAAACATTCAGATCTTCTCCTCACCCTACTTCTTGTGCTAAGCTTGATACAGCAGTGCAGAAGGAGCAGCTCTTCTCCCAGGAATCAGGCTATCAGGAGACAAGGCAGATCAAGAAAAGGCTGTTGTCCCCGTTGCCTTGGCTGGAGACCAGAGCCAGATCTCACACATCCATTGTGTACCAGGCTGCAGACCCTGACCCTCCTGGGTCAGGGACAGCCTTTACTTCATGAGCATCTCCACGGGGGTAGGCACAGCACTCACTTGCTCCATCCCCAGCAAACAGGACCCAGTGTTGTGGAGACATCCAACCCAGTATAAGGACATTAGTTGCTTGTTTCTTGTGTCCATTAAGTTTCTTCAGAAGAAAACACATTTCCAGCTGCAAGTCTTCAGCCTGACTTTTGTTCTCTCAACAAAATCCCAAACTGTCGCAGAGCTTCTCACAGAGGGAGAAGAACTGAAATTAAATGTGCTGGAGGTCTCCACTAGATGCTGGCAGAATCACAGCAAGGTCACCAGCGAACTGAGGAGCCTTTGATATCCATGCTGCAGCTCCAAGAAGCACTCACAGGAGATGGGGAGCAGGGAGACAATAGGAGGGGAGAGACGAGATGTGTGGATGCGTTTGACCAGAAGACAGAGGTGAGATGAGGAGGCCTTCATGTAGGGAGTGAGTCACCTCCTTCAGGGTCACAGTCTCTTGGAGATAGATAGTAAGGAAAGGCACAAACACAGTCCCCAGAAACACCTCAGCAGCTGTACAGGCAGGGAAGATGAACTCCACTGCCACAGACCACCAGAGCTTGCAGAGCCTCTGCAAAGGGGTGCCCAGAGCATGAAACACTGTGTTTCGAGTTGATCCTTGGGGTTGCAGTGCATTAGGATAGGAAGGGCTGTCCCAGCCCCAGGGGAGGGGCAGCTGAACCCATGCCTGTTGTGTGCATATCACCTAACCCATCCCCTGGGTCCTACCCACTGGAGACCCTCCCCAGGGAAACTGGGTTTTCACATAAGTCCTGATACAGCATCTTTACTGAGCCATCATTTGTGCTCACTGCATCTCTCCCCAGCCCACAGGCTATGTAAGAAGCCCCCAATACCATTTTCAGGTGATGTTCTGGGACTGTCACCTTTCCCCTCACTCTGCCTGGTAGCACCAGCTCCCCAAATGGGAACAGGGGGCTGCTCACCCAGCAGGGAAAGGAGCAGCACCTGCAGGTCCTCCCCAGCCACCCCCACTGCAGCATGTGGGGATTGATGGCTCCTGCCCCACTTCTCCATTGCAGCAGAAACAGCCTCCCCAGACTGGCATTTTGCTCATAGTAAGGAGGTTTTGGAGATTGGTTGCTACACCTGCCTGTTAACACCAAGGGGAATCCAGTTAGCTCTGCATGGTAGTGACAGATGGAAAAAATGCTGCCTTCCCAGCAACTGGTGTCTTTGACCAAGGGGACATTGCAATGGCAATGGCAACTGACAGAAGAAATTTAGGCATAACAGTGGTGCAGCTGTGGGTGAAGCACAGACAACACCTGCTCCTGCTTTGGGCACCATACCCACCTCACACTGCCCCAGCTGAGCGCCAGGCAGGCAGCTCCCATTTCCTCACCTTTCCAGCATCTTTTGGGAGGCAGAAGCCATCGTGCATCCTGCCTTGTCCCCAGGGTGCTGCACCCCTCAGCCCTATCCAACTCAGCACGGCTGAAAGAGAGCCCAGCACCAGTAGCAGCTCTTCCCCAGGGATGCTCATATGGGCATCCCCACCACTGCTGCAATGTTCCCTTCAATGACCCCAGTGCTCATACCTCCAAGACCAGACACTGCTGTCCCAGTGGTGTCCCAGTGTCCTCACGATGCCAGCCAGTGGTGGGTCCTTGGGGTGCGTGGAGCTGTTCCCGGAGACACCAGCCCAGGGATGCCCACACTGACCTGCTCCCACGCGCAGAGCGGAGCTATGAGCCCCTCCTGCCGCAGGGCCCTTCTCCCCCTGCCTCACCCCACGCAGCTCCTCAGTGCCCATATCGACGAGCCCTTAATGAGCTTTGAGCTCACGTCCAGTCAAATCAACACCCTGCATGTCGCGGGTGGGGGGGCGGGGGACCCACAGCCACTGGAAAATCACACAGGCTCCAAGGGCATGGGCAGGAGGGAGGGCAGAAGCACGGACAAAGGGCTTGGAGCCAAAGAAAGGGGGAGTCAGCAGGTGAGTGGGTTACAAGGAGTTGGTTGCACCCATGTTGCTGCAGCAGGTCCCGCAAGGATGGCTGCAGCAGTACATAAGAGGCTGTGCTGCAGGTGCTGTGCACATCTCTTGCCGTCTATGTTTGTATTTGGACAGTGTCTCCACCGTTCTCTGCAAGCAGAGCTGGCTGCATCCACACTGAGGATGCAGAGGAAGGAAGGTTGGGTCTCTCTGTCCATGAGCTTCTCCTGCTTTCACACAGCCCTGCCCAACACAGCCCTTGCACAGGGCCAGGCTTGCAACAGTGTGGCCCTGGGAAGGGGGAACAGGGCAGGCAGGGTTTAGGAGGTATAGCCGCAAAGGACACTGTGGTGTCACTGGTCAGGTGCATTACTGGCTGTGGGTCAGGCTTCTGGGGTGGAGGGGGCAGCCACAGGAAGAGGGATACTTCTCATTTGAAGTGTCAGGTACCATACATCAGCCAAGGAAAGGAGCCACATGTGAATGACCAGTTTTTTGGTGTGTTCCTGTCATTGTCTCTAAAAGGGGTTGTGTGGGACCTTTATTTCCCTTTCCTTTTTCTTTCTGGGGTCCAAGACAATGTGCATCCACTGGGCGTACAGAGAAGTTGCTCTCAAAAGCAACACGTGGGAGCTGCCAGCTCTGTCTCATTAGGGGCAGCATTGACAGAGGGGCAGGGGAAGGAGCCCAAGTGAATCGAAGTACAGTTCTCCCCAGAGATCACCAGCAAAAACAACACCTTTGCACTTCACCTGCTCCTGTCTTTGTGTGAAAGCAGAGCTAGGGATACTTAAATTAAGGACAAGTACATTTAGCGGCTTTCAGTGCTGCGGAGACAACATGGTGACCTGGATTCCTCCCATACCCCCACACATGTGTACAAAGGCTTGTTTCACCCCACTCGTGACATTGCACCAGCTCCCTGGGCGCTCAGGTGGGCTGAGGGTACCGTGGCAATACCACACTTTTTATTCCTTGTTATTAAAACTCACATTCTTTAAAGGTCCCCCCTGTCCCCTTAGAGCAGGCAATCACACCATAACCCACGACAGCTAAATCTAGCAGAGTTCATCTGCCAAAGCCCTTAACTCATACGGATGGGAGGGAAAACATGCTGCCTTACAGCTTTGTTGAGGTTGCTGCTCATGGTCCCATCTACATCTGTGCTAATATCTTGCCAAGAGGCCATGTTTAAGGAACGCATTTCAGGCTAAGTGGTCCCTGGAGGAACATAGATGAGGCAGTAAGACTCCCATCAGGTTATTTTGGCCATTAAAGGAGAAAGACAGTGGTGCCAGGAAGGTTGGCAAGGCTGGAGAGAGGGAAAATGGAGAAAGGAAACTGTTTTTACTGGGTAAACCCAAGGGGGGGGTTGAGAGCTGAGTGGGAGGATCGCACACAGTCTGGAGGCATCCTGACAAACAGGCATCCTCTCTGAGCTGAAGCAAATGCAGTGAGTGGTATTCCCTTCTGAGAGTGGGTCTTACAGAGCACCCTGATCCCTCTCCTCTTCCAAGGAGCCCGTGTCCCTCACACCATTCTGTGAGCTTGAGAACCTCTTATTTATCAGCAATAAAGTCAAAAGAGAAGTAAACTACATCTATCTCAGAAATCTTTCCTTTAGACTCTTGTCTGGGATAAAAAAACAGCCAGTGAAAATGTTGTGCTGACCTTGCCCCCCGGATACCTCATTCTGTATCTCTGAAAGTGAGCACAGCCTGCACCGGCCAGAACTGCATGGGCAGGGAGCATGTATTGCAGAACAGGGAAATCATTACTGCCTGTTGTGCCATGGAGCACTGCTGGAATTGCTGCCAGATGAATCCTGCAGGAGCAAGATCAAGCCCCAAACCTGGAGAGCTTTTTCTGTGGCAGGGGGGTTGGAACTGGACGTTAGAACTAAGATCCCTTTCAATCCAAACCATTCTGTGCTTCTCTGAATCACAACTCTTGGTGAAAGCAGAACTGGCAGAGGTATGCCTCCCCTGTGCCATGGGAAGTGTGCAGGCACAGCCCTGGATGTGCTGGACCAGGCAGGAGGCTCAGCTCCCTCTTGCCCGCCCAGCTTTCTTTGCAGTTGCCACAGGGCCCAAGCCAGGAAAGGGCTTTCTGAATGTAATACTGTTAACGATTAGATTTTCTTTGGCCAAGCCAACCAAATTAGAGCTGGTACCTGCAGGTAGTTTCAGTGAGGAGCCAGAAGCAAAGACCCTGGCCTCCTTTTGTCAAAATTAATGAAACTTCAGGTACCAAGATATTGTAACTCACAGTTTTCTGAGCCTGGCATTAGCCCATCCATCACTGTTCCCTCTTGGTCTTCAGTCTCTCCTCAAGCCCAATTGCTGATGTGACACCTCCTAAAATAAAAAGACAGGGAGAGGCAGCAGCAGTTTGCTTGCAGGGTAGGTGCAGATCTCAGGCCTGAGGAAATCAGTCTGTTATATGTGTTCTTCACAGTTCTCCACACAGTCCAGGCTGAGGAACACCTGAGAATTGCAGTGGGTCAACTGGAAACACCAGTTACCATAGGAAGCACATGCTTTACTGGAAGCACAGCAAACCATCACCCCACCTCATGCACTTCTGCTCTTGGGAGAAAACAGGCCAGAAAGTAGCCATTTCTGCTGAAGGGATAAAAACTGAATTTAAAAGCAATGAGTCTTTTCTGTATCGCATTTGTTGTGCGAGTTAGAGGCAGAAGCAGGCAGTGAGTATCAAAGGCATTGGAGAGCAAGAATGTCTCTCAGCATCAGTCTGAGCATCACCTTCTTTTCCAGAAGAAAAGGAAGTGTGACCAAGAAAAGAAGAGACTCCATGGATATTTCATACTTGGCAAGAACTAGACATGGACTGGTGAGCCCAAATGGATTTCGGAACATGCCTTAGAAGAGAAACAGAATTTGTTTGAAAAGATGGTATTTGGAGCTGCTCTCTTGGTTATTGTCCATAAACATTCACGAAACTAAATTTTGATTCACCAGTGTGTTCTCAGAAAACGGGATCTTGGCAGGTACTCAGAAAAATACTCGCTGGCTTCAGTATTTGCATTTGAAGCGTTTGGGCTGCCACCTCCAAAGCTTTTGGTTGCTTGGGAAGCATCCAGCAAAAGAGCCCAACCCCACCATATAATCTGTGTGAGTAAACATAAGTACAAAGAGTGTTTTCTGAATAACAGCTATTGGACATGATGACAGTGGTGAAAGCAGCCAAATAATCAGGCTAGACATCTCTTGGTTTAAAATTCATTTGCAAAAATCATTAACACGATCATTGCAAAATAAGTAGCAGTATAATCACTTGAGGATAATTTGCAAAGAGGAATAGGGCTGCACTCATTGAAAAGGGCTGTTATGAGATACAAGGCTGCCTGGCCCTGACTAAGCCCACTAAGTCCACCACCTCCAAAGGGAAGCAAAGATGGTCAGCACAGCAGGGCTCTCAGACATTGCTTTTTCGAGCCCAGTCCAAGGCCTGGTCTTCTCCTCTGCTTTTTTGGGCCCAGTCTAAGGGATGGTCTTCTCCTTTGCAACCTCAGCAATCCCACCAACCTGCAGTAGGGGCCAAGCTGGCCAGCCTCCTTCCTCCCTGAGCCGGCTCAAAGCTCAGGTCTGGTCTGACTCCTGCCACCCAACCCATCCTCCCTCAAATAGTGGTCAGTAGGGAATAGACAGGGAAAATGTGTAAGACCAGGATAGGAAAAGCAGGACAATTCCTTGTGCTCAATCCTGCTGACTTCCACCCACAGGTGCTCTACATGACTCCCAACACAGGGGGCCCGTTGAAGACTCCTCTGGTGGGGTCTCGGGTTGCTTTGCCATTAATAGTGGCTGGACTATTAATATCCAGTAACACGGTCACCTGCCAGCCTGACTGGCCTCTTCTCCCTAGGAAAGAAATTCAGCTTCTCCTGATCTTGTGTAATCACTCCCAGTCAAGTTGGGATGAGCCAGTCCTATGGCATAGGGAAAGGTCTTGCCCCACACATTTATAGCCCTCCACAGGCTGCCAGCCATGTTGCTGGGGCACACAGCTTCTATGAAATATCCTTTCCCTGGAAACTTGTCCAATACTTTTCACAGATAGTACTTTTATTTACAATTACCTTCAGCCACTGGTATTAAATCTACATTTATGCCGCTTGCCCCTGCAGCTGCTAGGAGCCCTTGGGAGCAATTTCATCAGGAGATGACTTATTTCAAAGACTGGGCATTTTTAAATCACTCCTGCTGCCAGCAGCACAAACAAAACAGAACATGGTGAAGGAATAAAAAATGTAAAAGAAATATGGCAAGAACAAAGCTGAAAATAAATACAAGAAAAGAAAAGGAATTACCACCCCTTGAGGAGATTAAAAGTGACCTGCAAAGGAAAAATAGATTGGGTTGGAGCACTTCTGTTCAGGGCTCACCTATTCATCTTTTTCCACTGGAATACTCTGGAGACAGAGAGAACTAGTGAGATAATGTCACTGGATATACTGGCAGTAAGACTTTGTCAACGGTGAAACAGCCAAGTTCTGTTAAGCTCAGTGTTTTTTCTGTTGTTTGTCCTGTGCACCTCACCATAACTCATGTGGTTGAGAAACACCTGGGAGAAAAACTTCCTCTGCTAAATATTTATCAGCACTGACCTTTCAGTCAGCAAGCAAGACCTGAAGGACCAAGGGTCCCCCAGCACAAAATGAAGAAGATCAATCTGACAAGTCTTGGGAGAAGAGGGGATATTAGGCAGAAGAGAAAGAAAGCGCCACTAAAATAAAATCCATGCATTCAAAGGGGTCATAATGGCATTTTCCCTACTCTTTCTTTCAATTAAGAGCCTGTACCACCAGTTCATGTGGCTAGAATTCTACTAGCTGCATGACCATTTTTTCCATTTGATTGAAATAAATAGGGCTGTACATGTGGAAGTTTCTGAGAGAAGAGAAACACACTGCTACACACAGCGTAGCACGTCTGGGGCTTCTGTCAACAGCTGAAGCACAGTGAAAGCTGAGCCCTCTGCACCCTCACGTCTGCTTCCCCAGCCGCAGCACAGCTGGAGGTGGTGCTTGAGGATGGCCCACACCTGTGGGTAGCCCAGCCCCGTCCTCTGATGGGGCTGACACCTACAGCATATCACCGTGACACAGACTCAGTTTCCTGCTGGGCAAACCAGACCTGAGCTGCCCTTCCAAGGTATGAGGTTTAATTACCAGCGCTCACCTGCGGCAGTTGCCGAAGAGCTCTCGAGCTGATTGCTGGTTGGTCTCAAAGCACTGGTGAGAATAAGGCACCTTTCTGTGGGCTTCCAGCTTTCTCCAGAGGTGCTCTGAAGGCCAGAGAACCCAGAGTGCAAGAATGCCTGGGGTCCAGGTGGCACAGGGACACTGACGTTCCCAGGTGGCCCCAGAGGCCATGCACCACTGGTGTCCATGGTGGAATTTGGGAGCAAATTCTAAGTGTGGCAGTCTCCTCTTGCCCCCATCTTCCCAGCTGTCTTCCCTGCCACAGGAGTATCTGAGTGAATCTGGGTGTCCAGTGTCCCTGTGATATGCACCTCCTGCCCAGCACACCAACAAGGAGCACAAGGCCCTGGGAATCAGAAGCAAGTGACATTACGGACACCAATCATGGGATTTCTGCAGGCAAAAGGACTTCTGGTAGGACTTGTGTAACAGCAGTACCTACCCACTGCAGGGTGTTCCCTTAGGTCTTGCCTACCCATAACTAACCAGTGTTGCCCATCTAAATCAAAACAAATTAGGCTAAATTAGACCAGAGCAGCCCGCTTTGAAATGATTATTCCAGTTTAAAGACCATTTGGGTAATAAGTGGACATAGTCACGTTGATGAAAGTGGGCCTGTATCTGCAGAGTGTTTTGATAAATGGAGCTAAAAAACCTGATCATCTTTCAGTCAGTGAAACTGCTGTCACAAGGGACTGGGAAGATTTAGCTCTGTTGCTTCTAATCCATCAAAAAGAGTGTGAAAAGTAACATGGTGTTCAACTTAGCTCAAACTTGATCCTGATGGACTTAATGTAAATTAAAATTAGTGTGAATGGAACATAAATAGAAGCATCATCACATACTCTGGAAGATTTAACTGAAATCACATACTCTGTTAAACCAACCTAACTTTAAAGTCAGTGTGCCCTTAGGTCTAGTTACATCATTGGTGTAGCTCATGTGATTTTTTTCCCTCTTTATTAAGAGGCTTATGTTGATAAAAGCTCTGAGGTAGACACTTTAAATCAGCATAAGTACAGTTATACTGATGCAGCTTATGCCACTTCCCAGTACAATTGTATGGCAATGCTTTCCTACAGGGAGAAGCCTTATTGCACAGCTGTTTGACCTCAAAAGCACAGGAGTGGGGGGAAAAAAGTGATAGATGTGGAGGAAAAATAGGACAGATTTGGATATGAGATGCAAACCAGGGCACATTACCAACAGAGGCAGCACAACCACTGCCCACCACAGGTGCTCCATCATGATAAGTACATGGGCCTTGGGGACCAAAGGAGAAGGAAGAGCAAAGGCCTGGCTCCTCTGTGAAGTGCCACGCAGGTGCAACCTCATTTATCACCACATAGGAAGCGACGGTGCTTGCACCGAGAGGGAAAATGTCTCCAGCCTGCAGCCATGCTGCTGCTTGCCCATGTGATGCACACAACCAGAACTAGCCCTTGTTTGCAGCAATTGAGTTTCACCCCCTCCAGGGAAATCGCTCCTATCGATAGGATCGGACAGTGGGAAATTGCTTTGCCATCGTTCGATGTGTCTTACGTCAGCCTGCCTGAGGGACTTTGGACAGAACAGCCAGAAGGTGCTGCTCACAGTTCTGCCCACAGTAAAACACCCTTCCCTTCCTTCTAGAGAGGGAAGAAGTTTTGGAAAGTTTTACCAAGATTACAAGTTACCTCCACTTATAGTTGAAGTCCAGAAGCTCACAAACTCAAAACGTCAGCAGCCACGCATTTACTCACCGGCCTCTGTCACAACATCACAGAAGTGGTGTAATTAAGACAAAATCTACCAAAGCATAATTCCCCCAGATGCCATAATACACACACACCCCCCCATGTGGAGATCTGGAACATCTCAGGTCAGCATCTATAACTTTCCAAAAGGGACCGATCCCTTTTGCCTTTTTCTTCTTCACCTGAAATCTCACCGGTGCACAAAGACCAAACAGCAAAGGTTTTGCTGCTGCCTCACCTGACCATAGGCCATTGCAACTGCTTGGAGAGACCCCCCAGAAGTAATGATGCAGGTCGGCATCCTCCTGCCCTACTCCCAGCTGCCCAGCTCCAACTGCCAGGAGACAAGGGAAGCAAGAAAGTAGGACTGAGCTTGACAACCCCCAAATGCAAGGGAAATGCCACCCCATGTCTTGAACTGCAAAAGAGGCTGGGCTGGGTGTCTTACTGAAAATAATGTAAAATTTTAAGGCATGAAATCATAGAATCATAGAATAGAATCATAGAATCAGCAGGGTTGGAAGGGACCTCCAAGATCATCAAGTCCAACCCTTGATCCACTACCACTGTTGTTACTTCTAAAAGCTGGATCTTTTAAGTGTGAGCTGTGGCAGGTAATTCATTAAAAAAAAAAAAAAACAACAAAAAAGAAAATTAATTCCGAGTATTTTCCCAACTTATTGCTGTAAAATCAATATGTTCTGAAAGTATTCAAATATCCTCTGCCCACAGGCTCTGAAAAGAACTAAGTGTGTCTGACCACACTGCTCACCCATGTGGAGACACACACTCCCACGCTTGGGCTCCTGGACAAGGAGGTTTATGGGTCAGGAGGACTAGAAGCTGCTCCTGGTCTTCTGTCTGACTTGGCTGGCAGCTTATGCTTGAGGTAAGGTGTAAACGAGTTGGAAAGCTGAGCCTTGCAAAAGCCTTTTGGAGTGGGAGAGCCCAATGCTGGTGATGGGAGACAAACACACATGGGACAGGATTGCATGGGGCACAGGAGAGAGAATTCCACCCTGTTACACAACTAGTATATATATCACACCAGTGCAAGGGGAGCCACACCCACCTGGCCTGTCTGGGGTATTCATACCTCATCCAAAAGCATAGCACAGAAAACTAACACTGCCAAGGTACGTTTTCCCCAAAGTTATGAGATTAAGCCTCAGCACCAGGCCAGTTCCCATTGCCGGACTGCCTCCCACCACCCCAGCTAACCCAGAG